AAGAATTTGTCCGGTACAGTGGCTCATGCCTGTAATCCCAGAACTTTGGGAGGCTGAGGCGGGTGGATCACTCGAGCTCAGGAGTTTGAGACCAGCCTGGCCAACATGGTGAAACCCCATCTCTACTAAAAATACAAAAAAATTAGCTGGGCTTTGTGGCTCGTGTCTAGTATCCCAGCCACTGCACTCCAGCCTGGGTTACAGAGCGAGACTCCGTCTCAAAAACAAAACAAAAATCACTAAAGGTTTCAGGAAAGAGGTGATACATGATGAAAGTGATGTCTAAAACTGATTAATATGTATGTATAATGGATCTAAGGAAAAAGACTAACATCCAGAAATAAAACTAGGAGATTATTTTATTAATCTAGAGAGGAGTGATAAAAGTCTAGGGTAGGATGGAAAAAAGAGACTTACCTGTGAAGGCATTTAAAAGAAAATCAGCATGAACCTTGAACACTTTATGCTGAGTAAAAGAAGCCAATCATAAAGGACCACATATTATATGATTGTATTTACATGAAATCTCCAGAATAAGCAAATCTATAAAGACAGAAAATATATTTATTTAATTTTTTTGTTTTTGAGAAGGAGTTTTTGCTCTTGTTGCCAAGGCTGGAGTGCAGTGGTGCAACGTCAGCTCGTTGCAGTCTCTGCCTCTTGGGTTCAAGCAAGTCTCCTCCCTCAGCCTCCCAAGGAGCTGGGATCACAGGCATGCACCATCATGCCTGGCTAACTTCTTTGTATCTTTAGTAGAGATGGGGTTTCACCATGTTGGCCAGGCTGGTCGTGAACTCCTGACCTCAGGTGATGCGCCCACCTCAGCCTCCCAAAGTGCTGAGATTACAGGTGTGAGCCACTGCACCCAAACAGAAAGTAAATTATTGGTTCCTTGAGCTTGCAGGGGCAGGGTAGAGAGAAAATGGAAGTGACTACTAATGGATATAAAGTTTTTCAGAGAGTTGGTAGAATGTCCTAAAATTGATTGGTGATGTTTCACAACTCTGTGACTAAAACAAAGAATCACTGAATTGTAGACTTTCAATAGGTGAAACACATGGTATTTGAATTATATCTCAATATAGCTGTCATTTAAAAGTGGGGGGAATAAAGGAAATGTGTTGAATGATATGATATATGTATTTGATGGAGAAAATGAGTCATTCACTATAAACTCCATAAGCTCCAGTTTGATTCTTACTGAAATAATAAAAATAGGCACTAGCACCATTGGCCCTGGCTGATGCAACAAAAAATGAAACATAAACAAGAGATATAATATTAGAAAGACCCAAAAGAATCACCTAAAGATCATTAGCATCCATGGAAATTCAGTAATTATTGTCATATGGTAAGATGCACACAAACGTCAGTATATTCTAATATACCAGCAAATGCTAATAAGAAAAATATACACAAGTTTAACCTTAAAATAAAATAAATATGAGTAGCTTGTACAAGGAAATAAATTTGTATTAAGTAATAATAAGTGAAGATTTAATGAAATGGAGATACCTATCACATTGCTTTATAGGAAGACTAAATATTATGATGATCTCAATCCCCAGAGCTTATTAAGGTTCCTAGTTAAGAATAAGTATACATTGCTGACAGTGTAAATTTGGTGAAATATTTCAAAAGCCTTCAAAATGTTCACACCCTTTCTCCAAGGAAATCTAAATGGAGAAAAAACTTTATGCACAAGATGCGCAAACTTCTTCTTTAGATCCCGGATGATCGCTGTCATGTCTTCCTCAACGTCTTCTCTTCTCATCTCAGTTTCATCAGCCTTTACTCACCTGGTTTCCAGACTGTTCTCTAGTCTGGTTGTTTTCCCCTAAGTGGACTATAGTTTGTTAATGCCTCTCTTTCAATGCCTCATTAAAGTTTGGTTGTCTAGAGGAGAGTGAAATGAGGAAAACCGAACTCAAGTGCTACCATCACGATTTAGAAATAGCTTCAAGATGAATTGAAAAGTGTTTACCGGTGGTTGGATATATGATTTGGCACTGGCTATTTCTTAGAAAGTATATATCATGAGTTGGTATTAGGATCATGCCTTACTGGGGTTTATTGGAGTTAATGGTTCCTCAGAGAATGTGAATAAAAGAAGGTCTATCTATGGCTTTCTAAAGGTAATGGAGAAGAAAATAAGTTGAAGAATGGTGGGAAATGTATGCTTGACTCAAAACAGCCAGGATAATTTCTACCCCCTTTACTAAGAAAAAAAACTCTACACTCACACAGCAATAAACCTGATTTTTCTGTTCACCTTCTGCAGTTTTATGCAAAATTATTATACATTTTTTTAATGCACAAACACAGCTATATACAAAGTGACAATTTGCTTGCACCAGGAGAAACATATTAAGAAATAGAAAATGAGTTTGGATAGCTAATATATGTATGTAATATACACAATTTTGCATATGGTTGTGTTTTTGCTTCTCTGACTTATTCCCCTCCCTAGAGTTAACCACGATTATATTTATTTATCTTTTTTCACAGAAGAGTTATTCTTTTATTATTTTAAAGAGTAACACATAGCCCAATATGCCAAAGCAGTAGGGAATTAGAGGCAGCAAATGGCCAGGTTTTTTTAAGAGCCTTATGCTGCATCTTTGAGCTCCTGTCTGCCCAAAGCCTATGGCTGCTTACATGAAGGCCGGGTCAATGGACAGATGACCCAACTCGACATCCATTAACTGAGAAAGGGCTCAATGGGCAACACAGCAGAGGCACTGCCAGGGCCCAGCATGCCAGGCAGCATCCCCCGCTGCCACCACCAGCTCCCAAGGCTAGTGCCTTAGTGGCAGCCAGTGTGTCTAGCACTTGATTTTATTTCTGTGAGCTTAGAGTGGGCAGGATGTGAATAAATCCTGAGTCATAAATTAAGGTGAAAGACTTAGTAGTGTTAATACTCTGGGTGAGAAAAGACAACACTTTCTTGGAGGAGAGTGGACTTGGAGTCTGGTGGAAGAAAGATGGAAACTCACAGAATGGCCTCGGCCTGCAGGCACTGCCTTGAGGACATGAGAGGGGGTTTTCACTGTACGTGACAGAGAGGGGCAAGGCGGGGTAGGCACTGGGCAGCTGCTTCCTCTGGCACAGTTAAACTAGAGGTTCATTTTCCACTCATACTTGGTTTCCTAGGTCTAGGTCTAAGTCACCACATATGGAGCTGAAGCAAGTCTTGCCTATGCACCAAGCGTGGCCTTGGAACTCGAAGAAATGCATGACTCACTTCTCCAGTGCTGAAGGGGAGAGACTCTCAATTGAAGGAGATCTTTCTCCCCACACTTCCAACTCCTTTCCCTTGCAAATGACCAGGTGCGAACCAAGAGGCAAAGGCACCTCCTGGTACAACCCACCACAGTCTTCCAGAGAACTCATCTTCATGGGACCCAAAGCCTAGCCTTGGCTTGGAGCAGACTTGTTTCCACCCATGGGAGCACCCTGTCTGGCAATTGAATGGAATCATCATTATATTTATTTCTAAAAGATGGATCATTCCATGATGTTTAAAAACCACTTCAGTTTTTATCTCTGGTATTATGTATAGCTTCCTTTTTTGCAAAAGACATGATTCCATTTTTTGTAGTCTTTTGGTTTTATATTACCACTCACTGCTACCTACTCACCTAGACATTGTAATTTCTCTTTAGGTATAATTTATACTACATTTCCCTCACATTTTCTTTTTGTAAAACTCTAATGTAACTATGTACATTTGAAAGAAAGTATCCAACTATTTTCAGTTATTTCCAGCTATTTCCAAATTAAATGTAATCTTCAATTGTTTTCTTATATCAAAACCAGCATGTATTTGTGTATGCATTAATTAGAGAGAAGTAAAAGCAGATTTTATTTAGCTGATGTGTGAAATGCTGAAGTCTTTGAAGCTCATGGGCATTAGTTAAGTGAGAAAGGATCAATGGACCATGGGTTCCAGACTGGGGATATGTACAAGCCAGCAGGTAAGGCCACTGTGGAAGGCAGGCAGATGCAAGACCCTGGGGCCTGGTGGGGACAGCTGTCAGGCAGAGCAGAAATCTAAGTGGCAACAGGCAGCCCCTTTGCGTGGCCAGGATCATCATCACGTTGAATCCAAGCCTAGTTGCTCTAGATCATCTGATTTTTCCAAGAATCTGCATTTTTGTGTGAAATTTCCCAGTTTAAGTTACCTCATTTTAAAAATCATCACAAGTTAAAAGAAAAAAAACCTACAGGCTGAAAATGGCCATCAGACTGCCATATTGCAAGCTCTGTTTATAATACTTACCAGCAGCAAATACTTACCACATTTTGCTATATGTTCTTGGGGAAGATGGTGAAAAAAATGATCCCATTCTCTTTTCATCAGAGAAAAGGTATTATTGCATTTACAGCATTCAGATTTACTCTGTATGTTTTCAGTTTACTTTGGGAAACCTACCACACTCCTTTTATACCACACCCTAACTGTGAAGTTGATCTGTCAAAGTAGGGTTCCCCATTTGTTGGTTCTCAATCTTTTTTTTTTTTTTTTGAGACTGAGTTTCGCTCTTGTTACCCAGGCTGGAGTGCAATGGCGCAATCTCGGCTCACCGCAACCTCCACCTCCTGGGTTCAGGCAATTCTCCTGCCTCAGCCTCCTGAGTAGTTGGGATTACAGGCACGCGCCACCATGCCCAGCTAATTTTTTGTATTTTTAGTAGAGACAGGGTTTCACCATGTTGACCAGGATGGTCTCGATCTCTTGACCTCGTGATCCACCCGCCTCAGCCTCCCAAAGTGCTGGGATTACAGGCTTGAGCCATCGCGCCCAGCCCAGTTCTCAATCTTTTATACCACACTATGAAGCAAGAGGAATACAAAAGAAGTTTCAGCATCTTAATTTACAGCCTCCGGTGGTTTAAACCAGAAAGTTCTTTTGGAGCAAAAGGAATTCCTTTCCTTTCCTGTGTCTGCAAGACCGTTCTCAATAAATTTGCTTCCCTGTCCCATTTCTCTTTCTGCAGGTAATAGAGGGAAAGCTGGCTCCATTCTTGGGCAAGGTCATTAAATTTGCCACCTCACACGTGTACAGCTGCAGTCTTTGTAGCCAGAAGGGGTTCATCTGCGAAATCTGTAACAATGGAGAGATCCTCTATCCTTTTGAGGATATTTCAACAAGCAGGTACAGAATATCTTATTTCATAAAAGAACACCTGAATGTGTAATGTGCCGTTTTCTTTGGCCAAATCAGGCCAACTTTTAGTCAAGTACTGTATCTCTGTCTCTTACCCTGAATCAGGTTTCCCTTGTCCTTGGCAAACATATTTCTCCCTTTGGTTTTCTATATTTATTTCAACCCCTTACCTCGCTACCTTTTTCCAGAATGAGATAACAGCTGCAAAGATACAATGCCGAACTCTGCCTTATTAGGTAACAGAGTATTCAGGTTCAATTTTAGAATGAAGATTGAGGAGGAAGCATCTTCATAATTTTTTCAGGGCCAAATGATAGGCAGTGGGAAACTGCAGTCCCAGAGGAAAGCCAAAACTGGACCGACCGGCAGGGGTAAAACTAGAAGACACTGGTGAGCTGCTGGGGCCTGGCCATGTGCTTTTCTCCACAGATGCATGCACTGCAGTGAAGCGATGATAGTTTTAGGATCCAAAGGAGAGAAAAGTGGGAGTTTATGTGGGATGATTTCTAACCAAAGTGATATTTGGGCATCATCACATCCATGGATTGATGGATGATTCACAAATGATACACATTACTTTTCCTTTCATCCCAAAAGCATAATAGAAATCTACACTGTATGTGTGTACACTGGCTTCTCTGAGCATGAATGTCATGGCTCATTTCCCACCCTGCAGGGCTCACTTACACTGTGGTTCAGAACAGAAGGTAAGGCATGTAGCCAGGGAGAGTTGAAGCATGTAGGGTAGAGCTGAGATATTGAGAGCTGACTCAGCCCTTTTGGCCTCTCCTTAAACCTAAAGACTATTTGTAAACATGCAAGAATTTCAGTTGGCCCACACACAGAAAAACAGACACATAAACACATAGACATGCAGACAGACACACAGACACAAACAAACACACACACACACACAGACATACACACACACGCAGAGTTTAGCCTCCAGTTTCCTGAGCAGGTACTTAGCTTATAGAGTTACGTAGCCTAGAGATTAGCCACCTCTTAAAAGGAGGAAACTCCTCATAGCTTTTTTAGGGCCAAGGGAGAGGCAGTGGGAAATTGCAGTCTCAGAGGAAGGCCCCAACTGGACCAACCACTTGGAGTAAAATCAGAAGACACTGGTGAACAGTAACTTTGCCCATAGCCTAGAGATTAGTTACCTCTTAAAAATGCACACCAGCCTGGGCATGGTGGCTCACACCTGTAATCCCAGCACTTTGGGAGGCTGAGGAGGGTGGGTTATGAGGTCAGGAGATCAAGACCATCCTGGCCAACGTGGTGAAACCCTGTCTCTATTAAAACTGCAAAAATTAGCCAAGCATGGTGGTGGGCACCTGTAATCCCAGCTTCTCATGAGGCTGAGGCAGGAGAATCACTTGAACCCAGGAGGCAGAGGCTGTAGTGAGCTGAGATCGTACCATTGCACTTCAGCCTGAGCAACACAGCCAGACTCTGTCTAAAAAAAAAAAAAATGTACACCACGTAAAACTTGTACACAAACGTTCATAGCAGCAGCATTTGTAATGGCTAAAAACTAGAAACAACTTAATTGTCTACTAACTGATGAATGGATAAACAAAATGAACAAAATCCAGTCAATGGAATATTACTCAGCTATAAAAAGGAAGTAAAGTACTGATACATGCTGCAACATGTATTAACATTGAAAACATGCTAAGGGAAAGAAGCCAGACACAAACCACATATTACATGATTCTATTTATATAAAATGTCCCAAATAGGCAAATCCATAGAGACAGAGAATAGATTAGTGGTTGTCTAGAGCTTGGGGGAAGGAGGAAAAGAGTTACTACTCATGGGTATAGGTTGCTTTTTGGGGTGATGAAAATGTTCTGGAATTAGATTGTGGTAATGGTTGCATGGTCTTATGACTACCCTAAAAATTAGTGAATTGTATACTTTAAAGGAGTGAGTTTTATGATACATGAATTATATTACAATAAAATATGTTTAATGCCTGGGAGCAGTGGTTTACGCCTATAATCCCAGCACTTTGGGATCACTTGAGGCCAAGAGTCTGAGACCAGCCTAGCCAACATGGAAAAACTCCGTCTCTACTAAAAATACAAAAATTAGCTGGACATGGTGTAATACAAAGCTGGACATGGTGTAATACAAAAATACAAAAATTAGCTGGACATGGTGTAATCCAAAATTTTTGGATACAAAAATTAGTAATCCCAGCTACTCTGGAGGCTGAGGCACAAGAATCACTTGAACCCAGAGGCGGAGGTTGCAGTGAGCAGAGATCACATCACTGCACTTCAGGCTGGGCAACAGCATAACTGTCTCAAAAAAAAAAAAACCAAACCTGTTTTAGTAAAGAATTTCTAAATGATTTCCACTGAATAAATCATATGCTGGGCCACAAAACATGTCTCAATTAATTTTGAGACTATACCAAGTATGTTCTCTGACACATGGAATTAAAGATTTACAGTAGAAAAAAATATGATCAGTCAGGTGTGGTGGCACACGCCTGTAATCCCAGCTACTCGGGAGGCTGAAGCAGGAGACTCACTTAAACGCAGGAGGCAGAGGTTGCAGTGAGCCAAGATTACACCACTGTACTTCAGCCTGGGCAACAGAAAACAACAGTGGCCGGATGCATCTCAAAAACAATATCTCAAAAAACAACAGTGGCTGGGTGCAGGGGCTCATGCCTGTAATCTCAGCAATTTGGGAGGCCAAGCCGGGCAGGTCACAGGTCAGGAGATTGAGACCATCCTGGTGAACATGGTAAAACCCCCATCTCGGCCAGGTGCAGTGGCTCACGCCTATAATCCCAGCACTTTGGGAGGCCGAGACGGGTGGATCACAAGGTCAAGAGATCAAGACCATCCCGGTCAACAAGGTGAAACCCCGTCTCTACTATAAATACAAAAATTAGCTGGGCATGGTGGTGCACGCCTGTAGTCCCAGCTACTTGGGAGGCTGAGGCAAGAGAATTGCTTGAACCCAGAAGGCAGAGGTTGCGGTGAGCTGAGATCGTGCCATTGCACTCCAGTCTGGGTAACAACAGCGAAACTCCATCTCAAAAAAAAAAAAAAAAACCATCTCTACTAAAATACAAAAAAAATTTAGCTGGGAAAGGTAGTAGGCCCCTGTAGTCCCAGCTACTCAGGAGGCTGAGGCACAAGAATCACTTGAACCCAGGAGACAGAGGTTGCAGTGAGCCAAGATCACGCCACTGCACTCCATGCTGGTGACAGACCAAGACTCCATCTCAAAAAAAAAAATTAAACCCCAGAATATTTGGAAATTAGTGTATTTCTGAGCAACTCATGGGTCATAGAAGGATGCACAAGGGAAATTTTAAAATATTTTGAAATGAAATAGAAAATATGTGAAAAACTCCTGTAGTAGCACTTAGAATGAAATTTATAGGCATAAATATCTGTATCAGAAAAGAAGAAAGCTCTCATCAGTACCTAAAATTTCACCTCAAGAAACTGGATATAAAAGAGTAAGTTAAATCCAAAGCAAGCTGAAGAAAAGAAAGAATAAAGATCAGAGCAGAGCAGATATCACTGAAATCATAAACAGAAAAATCACAAGTTGATTCCTCGAGAGATCAACAAAGTTAACAACCTTTTAGCCACCCTGATCAAGAGATTAAAAGAGAAGATACAAATTGCCAGAATCAGGAATGAAAGAGGTACAGAAATTAAGGATTATAAAAGAATATTATAAACAACACTATACCAACAAATTAGACAATTTAGATGAAATGGGCAAATGACTAACAAGACAAATAACCAAAACTGACTCAACAAGAAGTAGAAATAAATATGAGTAGACCTAAAACAAGTAAAGAAACTGAATTAGTAATTTTGAAATCTTCCCACAGAGAGGCCAGATGGCTTCACCAGTTTATGCTATAGAATATTGAAAGAAATAATACTGAACTTTCACTCACTACCTTTATCTCCAGAGTGAGATATTCAGAATGAGATACTAGAGTTGCAAAAAAAAAAAAAAAAAAAAAACACATTGCCTAACTCCAGCATATTAGGTAACAAAGAGTGTTCTGATTCATTTTTAGAATGAGGATTGGTGAGGAAGAACCCCCAAATATAAGGATGGGTTAGTTCTCCAAAAAGATGTAACAATCCTTAATGTATGAACAGAGTCAAACTATGTAAGACAAAAACTGGCGGAAGAGAGAGACAAGTTCACTGTTGTAATTAGAGCCTTCAACACTTCTCTGTCCATAGCCGACAGGTCCAACAGGCAGAAAATCAGTAAGCATATAGCTAAACTGAACAGCACTGCCAATGAATGGGATCTAATTGACATCTCTAGAATACTTCATTGAACAACAACAAAATATACATTCTTCTCAAGGTCACATGGAACAGTTACCAAGAGAGACCACATTCTGGGCCATAAAAAAAATTTTTTTGAACAAATTTAAAAGAGTAGAAATCATACAAAGTTTGCTCTCAAACCATAATGAAATTAAACTAGAAATCAATAACAGAAAGATACCTGAAAAATCCTAAAACATTTGGACATTTAAAAAAAAATACTTTGAAATAACACAAGTTAACTTATATCCACACAAAAACATGCATATGGATGTTTATAGCAGCTTTATTCATAATCAATGAAAACTAGAAGCAGCCCAGGTGTCCTTCAGTAGTTTATGAAGGCCTAAACTGTGGCATATCCATACAATGGAATATTATTCAGCAACAAAAGAAATGAGCTGTCAGGGCACAAAGAGACATGGAAAAAATCTAAATGCCTATATCCCAAGTGAGCAAAGCCATTCTGAGATGGCTACATGCTATACTATATGATTCCAGCTATGTGACATTTTGGAAGAGACAAAACTATACAGACAGTAAAAAGATCAATGGTTGCAGGGTTTTGGGGGCTGGGAAGGGATAATTAGGTGAAGCACAGGAGATTTATAGGGCGGTGAAACTATTCTGTATGATACTTCAGTGGTATATACA